ACTCTTATTAATTTCAATTCACATGTCAGGTAATGAGAACCCATACAACGATCCACATTTACCACATCATAGTGGCTCCATTTAAAGTGAGGTGAACAGCTAAGCAAATTGTCATCTGATGAAGCAAAATACAGCATCTTCACAAGATTTGTTATATGAAATGTTCGAATTTAGTTGAACGGAGGGTTCAAAATGTCTATTATGTAATAAATGTGTATTGCAAGCTTAGATTATTTTTGTTTTGGATAATTCGTAGTTTGGATGATGATCGCTATAATAAATGTTTAGTGCAAGCATGAAGTAAAATTTTTTACTTCAACCAAAATATACAAATTGACTGCAGGTTTATAATTCGAAAACATAAATACCCAAGCATTCACCAAATTGCTCATATTATAATTTCACGAACGTCCAAGGTACATGAAGTAAAAAATTTTACTTCAACCAAAATGTACCAATTGACTGCACTAAACTAGTCGACCAATTTCAAATTTACAAAATGCCGCTATTTAACAAAACACGATCACTTCACAGTAAACGACTAATCAAGCTCGGCAGACCATCACATTCACGATCACAGAAATCAATAGCTCTTCTTCGTTATTTAGCCGAATTTGAGATTGGAACATTCACGACATATCTTCAACTTCTTCATCTGCCACTAGTTTAGCCCTAGTACCGCTAGGTTCATCGATTACTTCTCCATCTTTGCACAAATCCCAAAAGCCACACTTCATACTGCAACATTTGAAGAATCTGCCTTTGTTAAAAGTGTCCCTTTCAACCTCGAAAACCTTCTGAAATCCATGCACACAAAAGTGAATATCGACGTTTTATCGGGCAATCACTGAAGAAGTGTCCAACACTCCTGCAACCATGACAAATTCTGAAGTTCCTTCCCAGCATTCTGTGTTCCTGAATTAAAACAATTTACATTTATGTCTACCAAATGACAAAATAATAAAATCAGCATCTAAGTTAAATTGAAAAATCGAAAATTTCAGCATCTAAGTAAATGTTAAACTGAAAAATCAGCATCTAAGTCAAATCTTAAACTGAAAAATTAGCATCTAAGTTAAACTGAAAAATCGAAAACTTCAGCATCTAAGTTCAACTGAAAAATTGAAAACTTCAGCACCTAAGTTAAATGTGCATAGTTCAAAGGAGGAGACTGATTTCAAAAGACGCAAGTTCAGAGGAGGAGATGATATAAATTTTACCAAGTCAAGCAAATAAGCTGGAAGGAGCAGAAACAGAGACAAGAAGAATGCCTTATACATGCCAAAAGAATTAACTAATCTACAATAGTGGTGGACCTCAGTGTTAACAAACTGGCCTCTAGCCCACCTCAAACTGAAAAATCAGTATCTAAGTTAAACTTAAAAATTGAAAATTTCAGCATCTGAGTTAAATGTGCATAGTTCAAAGGAGGAGACTGGCCTCTAGCCCACCGCAAAGGCAGTGCAAATTTATGAATTTTTTACTTTAAATTTGGCTAAAAACAATTTACCTCACCCTGAAAGTCCATGTCCAGTCACCCATCCTTATACATCTTCAGTTCCACACAACAACACAACAAAATCGATTTCCATCCAGACAAGAAAATGATTTGAAGAAATAATTGCATCCAGTAGAGGTTGTTAACAGCTATATCCTATACAATCCTAGTTTATATTGAACAATCGTACATATGAGTTGTGTTTGATACGACTCGATCACACTGCTAGAGTTCACTAGCTGTCGGAGATGTGGATGACGCCAGAGGTGTAGATAGTGCCGGACTTCAATTGCTGCCGGAGGTTTGTGATTATACATATAGCGTGGTCTGTGCGTGACACAGGGACTTGAATTGAGTGAAGCAACTATGATTATTATAGTAAGCGACCAGCAATCAGATTAAAACATGAGCAATCAGAAAATAATCTTTATGAAATTAAATGTAGTCATTTCAAGTTCTAGGTTTTTAACTTGGACCTTTTTCCTCGTTTACATATAATTCTATAAAGAAATATTTTTCTTTTAAAAATCACGGTGCAATAAAATAATTTTGGAGCTTTTCTTCAGAAAAATTAGAAATATTTTTTTATTGAAAAAATAGCATAAATGTAAATCATAAGTTAAAGTATGCTCAACTTTAAAATGTTATTTAATAATTGAATTAATATAAATTCTCAAATTTTTCTTTTTCGAAAATTAAATTGAAAATCTATATAAATCTTATTATTTTCTTAATACAAATAAAATAGTTAAAATACTTTTAAAGAAAGTAATTGTTACACCTCTTACGAAGAGGCTCCACATCATCAGCAATGTGGCAGCCGCTGAGAAAATCAACAAGGCATGCACTCCACGTCACCTCCTACCTGGCCTATGTGAGGCCATATAAAGATAGCCAAGATGATACATCATTTCTATTGAGGTGTCGTAGAATCAACCTTACATGGTTGAGCCGAAAAGTCATGTATGTTGTAGGGAAGAAGTGCAAGGCTCCTAGTCTCCACATTTACAAAAAAAGGCAAGTTCTAGTTTGCATCTTCTCAAAAGATCTTACGTACAAGATTCACATGCGATTGATTGATGTGACATCTCTACAATATGCGCTTAACCGTGAAATCGTCAATCTATATTTTAGAGGACAGAGTAGACTCTAGAGTAGCGGCTCGTCAGAAGCATTTAATGCCCATCAATATAGAATTGATAGAGTGACACCTAGGAGAAGACCTCAATCAACAAGATAAATCCAAGTGTCACTTTATCCGAAGGTTATCATTTCTCTTCTACTATTATAAAAAAGCTCACACATTGTGTCATTTGAAAGTGATGCAACTATATGTATTGACTGATTTGACCGTCGGAGTGCAATCAATCGCCTCCCCTCATTTCAGAGAAGGTCACATATGATTTACAGTTTGTCCAAACATGCAACACTAAAGGCTCACAAGGACATGAGAGGGTTCAGGATCTGCTGGTCACATCACCCCAACAAAAAACGAGATCAACAGTAAGTAACATATCAATTTGAACCGAAATTATAAATAGATGATGCAGGTGACCTAATGGTACTTATTCGAAGCCTAGTGAAAACAAATTTGCTGATTCAATGAATGCCCATGTAATTAAACATATGCACGTAGAACTGGACAAATCATGTAAAATGTTTGAAATATTAAAAACTGGTACAAAATTAGGCTTGATCAAGGGGAAAATTTAAAGAAAACAATAGTTATCGGGCATGGGAAAGAAGCACTAGTCCAAGGACAATTTTTACCATCAAATGGCCAATTGAAATTAATTGGATATTGTGATGCAGATTGGGCCGATACTCAAAACAAGGTGGTCAGTAAAGGAGTATTGTATGTTTTTTTGACAAACTACTCGTGTCTTAGAAAAACAAGAAGCAAACTATATCTTTGGCAGGAGTCGAATACAGGTCTATAGCAGTAGTTACGTGCTTACTTGGCTAAGGTACTTGCTAAAATTTTTACATGTTTATCACTATGAACCAAGATTGTTTTGTGACAAACAAGCATATATTGCAACAAATCCGGTACGTCATGAACGTACCAAACACATTGAGTTGGATTGCCACACATTCCATGATCGAATTCAAAATGGTGAAATTGAAGCGACTTATTTGGAGACAAGAAAACAAGTTTAGCCGACATGTTTACTAAACTGTTGCACAAGTAATCTGCCATCACTTCTTAACAAGATAAGAGTTCTTGACATTCAAGCTACAACTTGAGGAGGGTATTAAATGATATGGCGTACTAGCGAATTGGAGTAGAGTAAAGGCATTTATTGACTTGCCATCAGAAATGAGACTCATATATCTACATTTAAGATGACATATCCATTAATGACACTTAATCGTTGAACAATATTATTTTCTTCTTTATATTGTCTGTCTTGTTCACTAATGTCTACCGAAATAAATTATTTGTTTTCTTTCTTTATTTTTTGGAGTTACATTACTTGTTGGTCTTCTATTTGTATTTGGAATCTTGGCGGGCTGGCTGGCCGGCTACAATTGCAATAAGTTGGGGTTACAAGAAAATTCATTGAAAGGAAATACAATGAGTTAGGCATAATTTAGAGGGAAAAATAGTTATATCATGTGAAAGGAAATACAATCTGGGGAAGTGATAATCCTTGGTTGCATGATTGCATATGCCAGGATATTTTAATAATCGATTAGTAAACTCTTTTTTTTTCCTCTAGTGGCTGGTGGATCCAAGTCAAGGTCAATTATAATTTTCTGTAACAAATACAAACATGTATATATATGTGTGTACAATTTATTCAAGTTCAACAAGAAAAAGAATCCCACAAAAGATCAAATTGGCATTAGGTGAAGGTTTCTTTAATATTTAGTTATACCATGTGCAATAATTTGTTGACAAGCAGAAGAAAATGTTGGAATTTTGTATCGAAAATTGGTTGTGACCAATTTAAATGATTTAAGCTAAATTCGTTGTTTGGTTTTAAGCCAAACTTAAACCGTTTAATACTTGAAATTGTTGAAAAAA